CTCCTCCCTTGAAATAGCACAACACAGGCTAGAAGTTTTCCATCATTTGGGGTTTTCCTTAATGATATCCGCGACCACTGTGATAGAGCACTCCTAGGGCTTTGGAGATTGAATCACAAGATTTGGGAGAAGTGAGATCCATTTATCCTCCCAAAAACACGCATCACTGCCATCACCAATTTGCCACATAAGTACATTCTCAAGAAACTCCCTCCCATGAAGTAGGCGGTTCCAAACCCGTGAAGGTCTAGCTTCGTGTTTCGCCTTCATCAAGTCCTCATTTGGGAAATAGATCGCTTCATAAATTTCCCCCAAAAAGACTCAAGCTGGCGGATCAGCCTCTAACATTGCTTAGCTAGGAAGGCCTAGTTGAACAACTTGAAGTCCTTGAACCCCATACCCTCCTGTTGTTTTTGACTTAGTCATTTTCTTCCATTTCCTCCAACATATAAATTTGTTGTCCTCACAATTTTTCGCAAAAGTTTTTAGGAGACTCCATCGCCGACATGACATAATTTGGGATAACTTGAATTATTGTCTTAATCAATACCTCCTTACTTACTTGTGAGAGACAGTAACTCTTCCATTCCTGCAATTTCCTCGCAACTCTCTCAAGAAAATACCAATAGACCTCATTCTTGGATCTCCCCCGGACATTGGGGATTCCCAGATTCGAGTTGACAAGGTTAAAAGAAGTAAGATTGAAATAAATTTTAGATAATAATTAATAATTTAAATTTAGAATGATACAATTGTAATTAAATGATGTTCAGGGGTCAAAAGTAAGGAGGACATGTGGAAAACTACACGTGCTTTTACGATTCACTCCAGCGGCGCAACGTAGCGAACACTTTTACTTTTATGAAGAAAAAACATAGCCAACGCTCCTGTAATAATTATAAGTTGGGATTTTCGCAATTTGTACCCCAAAGATATTTTTATTTTTATTTTATACCTCAAAAGATTATTTTTTTCACTTTACACACCGAATGTCAAAAATTTGTTCTAATTTGGGATTCAGACTAATATCCGTCTCAAATTTTGTTAAAAATTGATACATATGCCATCGAAGAATATAAATGATAAATTTATATTTTTGTCTAAAAACAACACATATGGATGACGACATGTGCATCAGATTTTACCAAAATTTGAAATAAATGTTAGTTCGAGAACTACATTGAAATCAATTTATGATATTTAGGTTATAATGTCAGAAAAATAATTTTTTAAAATACAAATTAAGAATTGATAAATTTTTCGGGATATAAAGTGTAAAAAGCACTTATACGTTCGAAACAAAGGCGCCAAAATAACTCTAATCTCCCGCGCCTTTACGAGTTTCCAACCCGCCAATCCTCGACCCTTATTTCTTCTCCACCTGACTCTCTTAACTTTCTCTCTCTCTGTCCCATCCCCCAATCCCTCCATATCCATATATACATCTACCATTCTGTCTGTGTTCATAACACAAAACCATAAAAAAAAAAATATGCAGAGCAACCAACCCCACCCCGCCACTCCCGGCGGCGCCACCTCAATCTCAGACGCCTTCCTACCCAAACACGGCAAAAAACGCGGAAGCTATAACTGTGGCCGTTGTGGCCTTCCCAAAAAAGGCCACTCATGTCACTTTCCGACTACCTCCACCACCATTACCTCACCCACCGATTCCACCTCCGCTGTCATAGCTTCCCCTTTATCTGCCGTCCGTCCTCCTCCGCCTACCCCATGTCAGCCTTACTCTCATCTCCGACGAGCTCTTTCGTTCGATGACATCGATGTTGCTGACTCGGTGGACTCTGACGATGAAGAGCCGGAAACGGAATGGGATCTGGATTCTGGTGGGTTGCCAGCGAGTTGTTTGTGGGAGGTGCTGAGGAGGTTAACGCCGCCGGAGTTGTTGTCGGTGGCAACGGTGTGTAAAGGGTGGAGGGACACGGCGAGGAGGCTCTGGCGTGCGGCCGAGGAGCTGAGACTTAGAGTTCCGGTGAAGGCTCAGGTTGGATTTGTCGGATCGGTGCTGCAGAAGTGTCCCGGACTCATTAGACTCTCCCTTAGAATGGAAAGGTGACAACCCACACAGATCTAGGGATTCCATTGAATGGATCGGTTCACAAGAAATTCTAATAACAATAAACCTCTACATTGAAGTAACATGAACACGATGTAAAATCTAATTGGGTTAAATCTATCACAGGAAATTGAAGTTAAGTGAATGATATGGTGATGGTGGACTGAATGGTGAACGCAAAATAAAATGTTCTTTTGGGTTATTCAAGATATTCCATGGGCAAACATCAAATGTAATTATATGCTTAATTGATGCTTGTAGTCAGAATGATTTAGGTAATAGGCTTTCTTAGACATAGAGATCATTAAGAAATTGAATAAGAGGACTTCGTTTTGATCTGTTTTATATGGTTGTTGTTTATTTGTTGCAGTGACGTGGATGCAACGATGCTGGCCTGCATTGCATTCTCGTGTCCTAGTCTTGAATCGATGGAGATATTCACATCTAATACCTCAATCAACCGGATTACTGGGTATCACTTCGTTTTGCACCTTTCATGATATATACATTTTTGTTCGTGGTACAGAATTGAGAAATTCGATCATTGTTGAATTATGTGTCTGAATTGCAACCCCAATCCCTGAATTATCTATTGGGAGGTTGGTGGATTGTGTAGGGTTTACCTTGGTTAGCATCGATTTTCTAATAAGATTTGATCTTGATTAATTGGTTGGTGCAAAGCTGAAGAAAGCTCATCAGCAGAATCTGATCTGTTTGATTGGTTTCTGTACTCTACTTGGATGCAGTTAGGTGTTGGTATGATGCCAACGGCACATATGTAAGCACAAATCTGTTCCACTATATATATTTGGAATTGAATGTTTTAGATCAGCACTTGGTTAATGTGAAAGGGTAATTTTAGATCAGCACTGAAGAAGATAACTTTTAGATCTACTTCCCTTCAAACTGTGTCTGCTTGGGTGCACATGCAACAAATCCCTAATCTTTTTGTGCTTTTTTTAATTTTTTTTGTCTGTGGGTTGTATGCCATGGTTAGGATCTTTTCTACTTCCTGTTAGACTATATCTAGTTGCACTTGAGTGTGGTTAAGCAATTAGTCTCTTTGGTATTTAGCTGGAAAAACCTGCTGGTATCTGTTCAACATAACTTTTTGGAACTTCATATACCAAGTGCTTGTTACTGAGTATTGTATCTTCATCATGTGGTATTTTTCCGTAATAATGAAAGGAGCCCAACAATGTATAATGTCTGATGCAGGGATGAATTAGGTCGTTTTGTTGCTGATAAGCGATGTCTTACCAGTCTCAAGATGGAAGGATGCTCTAACCTTGGGGGTTTTAGTCTCTGTTCGTCGAGTCTTTCTATCCTTTGGCTTTCAGATCTTCACTCCCTCTCTAAGATGGTAATTATTTCCTACTTCCACCGGGTGTTCAAAACTTCCATTTTTCCATGTTCTCATCCTTTCTTTTTAATTAATTCGCTACTTCATTGGCATGCCCTCTCGTGTGTAGGTTTTCAACTGCCCCAATTTGAAGGAGATTTCTTTGGATTTCACTCGCCTAGAGAATGATAGTACTGATCTTAGAACCATGGTGGATGGTTTCGGAAGGAGCTGCCCAAGATTGCAAAACATACACATAGCTTCAGTTCGTCTTTCTAACGCTGTTGTGCTTGCTCTTACAGCTGCTAATTTGAGGTTTATTACCTTCTTTGTTTATTTGATTGACAATTCGTATGTTTTTGAAACCATTGATTGTGCTAAAGTTCACATTTTATTAAAAGAGAAAAAGAATGAGAAACCTGTAGATCAGTATGACCTTCTTTGTTTGTTTGGCTATTTTGGAAACCTTACACATTGTATCTCATGTAACAGTTAATTAAAATTAGAATTCTAATAAAATTTGTGTCATTGCTCCAATGTTCAGGGGCTTGCGAATGCTTTCTCTTGTGCTCGGATCAGAAATAACTGATGCATCTGTTGCAGCAATTGCTTCAAGCTACTCAACCCTAGAATTGCTTGATCTTAGTGGGTACATATCAGTCTTTAGTTCTCAGTGTCTTTGATATTTTTAGGTTGACTAGAAATCAGTAAAGCTGTCAAAATTTTACCAGTGTGTAGATCCTTTGCACTTGTTGAGAAGTGGTATATTTAAAAAGTGTATTCAGATTTTCTCCTCGCAATGTGCAAGCACCTTTAATGAATGTTGTAATTTGTTTAAATTGATCAGCAAATCTTCCTGATTGTGACTTTGATGCTATCACTTGATAGGTCTAGTATCAGTGACAGTGGAATTGGAATGATCTGCAATGTATTCCCTGACACGCTTTCAAGATTCCTCCTTGCCCTCTGCCCCAATATCACTTCAAGTAATCGTCAAGTCCAGCTTATTATCTGATGCAATTTTGTATTTGATTGTGCACAACTAAATTTTGCCTTGTTTCTCACAAATTTCTGCATCTTTTAGGTGGCATTCAATTTGCTGCTGCTCAATTGCCTCTTTTGGAACTCATGGACTGTGGGATGGCCATATGTGATCCCAATCCAAAAAGTCCAGCCTCTGAAGAGAGCAGTGACTGCGAATTACAGGGAACACCCAATAGCAAATTACTCATATACCAGAAGCTGATTATCAAACATAGCCGGTTGAAGAAACTAAGCTTGTGGGGTTGTTCTGGCTAGATGTGAGATTCTCCATCTAAATAGTCTAGAGTTTCCAGTTGATATAATATTCACTACATGTACTCAATTTGTTAATTTCAACACAGGCTTTATATTTGAACTGCCCAGAACTCAGTGATTTGAATCTAAACTCTTGCAGAAATTTGCATCCAGGTATGTTCTCTGATGTCGTTCTTTCTGGGGATGACCTCTTTAAAACTGAACTCTTTTATGGTTTTCATATTCAATTGACAATTTCTTGTTTGTAACCCCAGAGAGATTGCTACTTCAGTGCCCCAATTTGGAAAGCATACATGCATCAGGTTGCCAAGATATGTTGGTTGAAACCATTCAAAATCAGGTAATCATCCACATCTTCTAAAATTGACTCCTTTGTTGCATCTGGTAGGGAAACCCTTTCTAATTTTAGCAAACTCCGAAAGGCAGATATTTACTCATTTGGGGGCTAAATTGGACATTTTGTAAATGAATTACATTGAAGAAAACTTGATCAGTGACATTTGCAGCAGAATGAGATGGTATTGGTACTGGTATTTTTGTCAGTAACAATTTTTCTTTTGTAATTATGGGGAAACTGAATACGCTATTTAGTATAAGGAGGCTGCTTGGTAGGAATGAGGCTTATTGTGAGACTTAGTTAAATAGGTAGTATGTGAAGAGTTTTTTTTTGCTACAGGTTTTTGAAGTTCGTTCTACTGAGTTCATCTAATTTTGTTGCTGTATCAAAATATGATCTTGCTCTCTCCTTTGCTCAAGTGTTTTGTAGTACTTTCTAATTGGTTCTTAAATGTTACACTTCCCTCGTATATTATTGTAGGTCTGCAGTGATTTTGCAGCTATAGAAAGCCATTTTTCTTGCAAACGTTTGGCTGATGGCTCGAAGAGAGTTCAAGTCCCACATTTTCTCAACCCACAGGTAAATGCTAAAAAGAGTGTTTTGCTGTAACCTGTGTTACTGTGAACCATGAAGACTTCCAAAGTTAGAAATTATAGCTGTATTATGCCTCTGCATATATGACTAAAAGTAAAGTAACACCATTTATACAATAGAACTGAAAGTTTATGGTTGTTTTACTTTATAAATGCAGAATACAGAGGTTATAGTAATAACAGAAACTCATGTCTATTCATAACCTTTCTTTATTAGATTGTTATGCTATGTTGGAATTTGTATCTAAAACGGGCTTATCTTTGTCGTGCAGCTTTATGACGATGATAAGAAGGGAAGGAAGGTTCGAAAACGGCGTTGTACTGTGCTTGTGAACTGATCAAACGCGTCTTTCTGGACATTGTTGTTGTTACTCTAGACCTTTTACAAATTTCTTGTTTTTATTCTTGTCAAATCAGAAGGGCACTTGGCTGAGGGGGTCCAAATGGCTGGTAATTTCTTACGTGGTGGAGTTACGGGCTGATGTGCTTAAACATATACCTTCATTTATTCTCTATCAATACAGGGGAAGTGAAAACATTTGATGAACAACTTATCAGTCTATTGCCTTCCTCTTCTTTAAAATAAATTATCTTCCCGTAATTTAATTTAGTGTTACTCCGCTGGTTATTTTATGATTGGTGGATTGTAAATTGCACTTGGGAGGATCTTTGTATCAGTAGGATTCAATGATTTTTTTCAATGAGATCTACTTATTTAAGGATTTCATTTTATTTGGGTTTACATTGGGGATTACATTTTATTTGGGATTTTTATTAAAATTATGTACATTTTTAAATAAAAAAAAGACCGAGTTTTTTATTTAGCGATAACTCTATGCTCACATTGAAATAAAGTTTAAAAAATTACTTAGACATGGGTAATCTTGTTTTTGTCAAGTCCAATAAATTCTTCATTATAAAATAATACCAAAGTAGAAATCATATGTAAAGGAATTGGTTGAAATATTAATTAAACAGGACTAGCGAAAAAGAAAAAAGAAAAAGAAAATATAAGGCCAAAAATTTTCTCAATTAATTCTCATTTATCAATAAAAGTTAGGTATCAAGGCAATGTCGCATACATCAGATAAAAAATTTATTTTTTCACTGATTGTACCACTAAAACTTCGAACAATTTAAATACAAAATTATTATATTAACAATTTAATTATAAAAAAAGTAGATTGACCCACTAAATTGATCAACCAATTAGAGTTCACGATCATTATATTATGAGATTAAGGAGATCAAATTCTTCTCGGAAACACACTAAACAAAAATATGGTTTCCACGCTTAATAAAAACGAGATAAATTATATTTTGGAGAATTATATTCAGATTCTTGTCATTTAATTATTCAGATCTATATGAAATAATACACACACAGATCCTTTAAAGTTTTTATGCATTTAACACTTTTATTGCTGTAAATATATACATTATTAAATTATACCTAGACCCTTTAAAGTTTATAAACATATATTACTTAGACCCTTTAAATTTAAAATATTATATTTAGATTAAAAATATTTTAATTAAAGATAAAATATCACATAGTTTAAATTTTGTAATTAAAATTTATGTTCTATCGTATCATTTATTAAAATAAAATTTTAATTTTTTCTTAAAAAATTGTAATTAGTATACAATTATATTGTGTATTAGAATTTAATTTGGTTGTTTAAACGACCAAATTAAAATACCAAACTATCACAATTAAAACTAAAAGATATTGTGTCTATTATAGTTTGACTACTTGTTTAATTTTTTAGTTTTATTCTAATAGATAGTATAAATATATATTAATTATGATTTTTTTTAATTAGATTTTTTTTTAATTTTATTTCAATAAATGACATAATAGAACATGAATTTTGGACGTAAAATTCATGTTCTATTATGAATGATTTAAACCTCTTGTTTGATTTTTTAATTTTATTCCAATAGATAATATAATTATATGTTAATTACAATTTTTTTTAAAAAAATTATTTTTGGTTTTATTTCAATAAATCTATATAATAAAACAGAAGTGTGCTTGAATTTTGTCTCAATCATATTTTTTCTCTTAAAATCATCATCAATCACTTATCTCATCCATCATCCTTTTGTCAAACTCAAACGTCAAATCGCATCATTTATTTCTATTATATGTTTAATCATTTATATATTTATTCTCTAAAAACATCACACCACTCATTTTTATCATATATTTAATTATTTAATATTTGATTAATTTTAAGTTAATATATTTTGAAAAAAATTAATATAATGGAATCGATTTTTTAGACGCTCGAATTTTATATTTTATTGTGCATTCAGGCACAGATTATGACTAGTGATACAATAAAACATAAATTTTGATTATAAAATTTAAAATATTTGATATTTTATCTTTGATTAGAATAATTTTAGCGTAAGTATAATATTTTAAACTTAAGAAATTTAAATATTATATATATTTATAAACTTTAAGAAGATTACGCGCGCATAAACTTTAAGAAATTTGTAATATTTAAAATATTTATTTAAGAGTCTGTGCGTAATTCCTCCGTTATATTTTTACTCTCCCTCTGAACTAGCAGGGGACCAGGGGTAATCTACTTGAATCTAATGAAGAAGCTCACGACTTAAGCCCCTCCTTAACTGTTCTCTCTCTGTCTTCGTCCTTTGAAAAATGAATGCCTCTTCCTTTCCAACTGGCTCAAGAGGGCTCTATTCTCCTCCATCAGGTCTCTCTCTCTCTCTCTCTCTCATTCATTTGAATATGCTGTATTTATCGTATCGGTAAGGATTTTCAGTTTCAAGATCTTGATTGTGCATTCTTTTTGGTTCTTTTTTAACTTGCTGATGTAGAGACAGTGGTGCTGAAACGGACGAGTCTTGCTGTATTATATCGAGGTTCTGTCTCGAATTTGCCGATTAAAAGATTCTCGCAGACTTCATTGGATCGTCCTCGTTTTTTGATCATGAAGGAAAACTGTGTGCAGGTTCAATTTCTGTTGACAGTGTTCATCTCTTTAACATTATTTAATGATTGACAAGAGTATTGATACACTGATACTTCGGAATTCTTTTTCAGGTATTATGTGGTCGAAAGAGGGAAATTCCTGTTTTAGAGGCGGGGTATGCTATTTTTTCAATATTATCAGAATTTTAGGTGGCAATGTTATTGGGACCTAATTTGATGACTTAATTTAATATGATCTTTGAATTGGCTTTGGACTCTATCAAACATTAGACTTAGTGTTAATCCAATGGTCTCGATTAAGCCATATCGTTTTAGGTCAGCAAATTTTGTCAAATTTTTAGCTTCAAATAGCATTACTCTCCATGTTTACAGTTTATTGATTTATTATTTTTAAATCTTTTATCCCCATTTTTTGGGTCGAAGATAATGCTGTACAATTTTTTCAACTGATCTGAACGACAGGATTTATTTATCTATATTTTTAATGGGGATGGAAAATTAGAGTAATGCCGAGCAAGATGTTGATTTTATCGACTTACTCTACTGACTTCAAAACTTTGGGCAAGTGTTCGCATCAGTTTTATGCAAAAAATCATAAGAACTTATGGCTCTGTTCCATTGCCAATATGAATTAGTGTGCCCTAACAACAGTACGTAAACCAACTATTACTCTTAAAGAGTTGATTTGGGCCAGGAAAGACACTTGACCAACTTGTTACATTTAGTAGCATTAAGGAAAGAGAAAGATAGTGGTAAATAATAAGCATTTCTATTGTTTGAGATTTTATTTTTTTTTTTTTTTGTGGGGTGGATGGGTGGAGAAGATAAAATTTTTGTACTTAATGGAGTACTCAACTCTCTATTGTCTTAGCCACTTGGATAGGTGAATCTTGTATTACTTGAGTACATATGTGAAGGGAAATTACTTGTTTTAAAAGAAAGGAGAAAACTAGGTAATTACTAATTAGTCTTTCTTAGACCTCCCTATAAAGGGGGTAAAGCAAAAGTTGTGCTTGGAGAGGATGGCACTATTCGTCCATCTCTCTATTCCCCTTCCTTCCCTTTTTCCCAACTCAATGCAAACAAGGTAGAATGAGTCTCTCTTGCTCTTTCTAGTGAGTTAAGTGCTTCATGTTATTGGAGCACGAACGCATCAGAGTCTCTTTCTAATATATGATTACCCCTCCCTTATTTCCTTTATTTCCTAATGATCGAATTAAATAAGTTAAGAGTTCTTACAGCCCATGTATTGTCCTTTTTCTAATAGAAATTTTGATTGTTGACCCCTAATGTCAGTATCAGCTGCATTTAAGCACATTAATCAATATTTGCATGGGAAAATTTGGTTTTGAAAGTCATATTTAGACTGAAGGGTTTTCTAATGCTTATTGGCCGTATTGGCTTTGCATGGACAGTTTAAGTCAGTGCAAGCATTGGGTTTAAATTAGAACCTTAGCTGTCTTGAATCTTGATAAAAATTGTGCTAGCAAATAAAAACCCAAAGTTATACAAAAAGTCAACTAGCTAACATATTTGGATTGAAAGTTGTTTATAAAATAGAAATAGTAGAATTTTTAAAAATGTTATGTTAATATCATTAATTTTGGCCGAGAGCTTACTGAAGATAGCCCATGTGGCAAATTGTCCAACCTTAAAAGTCAGGCTTATGGGTTGGGGTCAGCTTTTCCTCGCCTTATATGGCACTATGAAAATTTAGTTGGTTTGCATTTTTTATTAACAGAAGGGGATTTGAAACTGAAGCAGCTTTGCATGTTCTCATTGTGATTGTAAACCAGCTTTCCATGTTGCTAATAATCCCACTTTTCATGAGCAAACTTACAGAAACTTGGTGCATGAACTTGAAATTTTCTCACCTGGTACTTCTGGTGTAGTTTTCTATTCTTGATGGCCTTTTTTTTGGAAATTTACTTGGGTGCCTATCATGTTTCACTTTCTTGGTAAGCTGATATGCCATATCTTGTACACGGGGATTCGAACTTTGTTTAGTTAGGCAGAGAAAGATAGTGCAGTGATGTTGGCAGAGAAGAAACTTTATTTGGATATGTTTCTTTACTGAATAATTTTGTCGAACTACTCAAATGCGGGGTTGCATGCATATTGCATGTTTGCATAATAGGCACATTTATGTGTCTTTAATGTAATTACGTATGGCGTTTTTGAATGCCTTTTGTTTCTCTTCCCTTTAAGCTGTATGGATGATGTATACAATGCTTTGGCTGAACGGCTGGTTCGAACTGCAGCAGCAGCATCAAATTTCCATTTCAAGTAAGTTATATTTTCTTGAATCTGGACATAAGTCTGGGCTACTTTTAATAACTGCAAGTTGCTGTTTGCATGTTCATGCTCAAGTTTCCAACAATAGCCTTATAATTAACCATAGGCAGAAGCCTTTTTTTTTTCATTGCTGCAACTTTGCTTTATATTTAACTTTTTTAAGTATTTTGTTTATGCTCAAAATAGAGAAACTTTGATGCTGTCCTTCTACACCTGACACCACACCATTTCCATTCTTCCCCTCTGGCATTTTGCTGGCAATTGATGACGAAAATTGATGATTGGTTCACCTGTTTTAAAACGTTCTTCAGTTCAAGGAATCACAAAATTGCTATAAGAGAAAAGATGAAGAAAACTGGAGTTGTTATGTGGATAACATATTGGATTCCAGCAAGAAGTAGATTCCTTATCTTGCGACTCGATAGCATTACTGAACTGGTACATTATCAGGCTGTCAAGATCTTAGAG